GATGGTCCACATAAGGGCAGCACGCAAAAGAAACATCTCGTTCTTATGGGAATCATAAACGGTAACACCTTCGTCCCACATCTTTCTCAAATCATCAATAAGGGGCTCAAGGTAAACATCAATGTCGTTTCCAGGTTGCCTTGGCCCCGTTATCAAAAGTGAAAGCATTATATATTTCCGTTTCATACACAACCACGGAGGCAAGTTGTAAATCATTAAAATAACCGACCATGTGCTGTGTTTAGTACTAAGAGTGCCAAATGGATTCATACCGTCCGTGCACAACCCAAGCCTTAAATTTCTGACTTCACCACCAAATGCCCTAAACTTCATATCGATGTTCTTCCATTGTGGAGAGTCAGCAGGATGCTTCAACAAACCATTTTTCTTTCTTCCCTCAGCATGCCATCTCAGGTTCTTTGCGTCTTTTGGTATTGAAAATAGACGCTTTAACCTTGGAATAATAGGAAGATACCACAACACCTTGGCAGGAGGTCCTTTAATACCAGCATTGCAGCTTGATCGCTTGTAACGCGACTTACCGCAACGTGGACACTCCTCCAACTCTTCATATTCATTTCGAAACAGAACACAGTCAGTAGGACATGCATGTATCTTTTTATACTCCAAACCAAATGGACACATTAGTTTCTTTGCATAATAATAGGAATTAGGAAGTTTATTCCCATCTGACAACATATCACATAACGCAGTCAACAAAGAAGTGAAACTAGTGTCACTCCAGTTATGCTTAGACTTAATGTTAAATAGTGTAAGCACGGCTGAGAGTTTTGTGTATTTTTTGGACCAGGGATACAAAGGCTTTTTGGCAGCCTCTGATAATGACTCAAATACATCAGGTCGGTCACCAAATTCACCTTCAACATCACGCATCATCTCATCCAAGTGATCATCACCACCACCATCCTCGGTGTCATCCCCTTCACCACCATCATCACTCCCATTTTCTTCTTCAACATGAATCTCGGCACTTTCAACATGCGTCTCATTGCCAACAACATTCTTCCTATACGATCCCTTCTCACCATGCCAAACCCAAACATGATATTGAGGCCTAAACCCATGACATTGTACATGAGCCATGATGGTATCCACACTATTGACCCTTATGACATTATTACAATTGACACAAGGACAATAAAGGTAATTGACACCCGTTCTAAGCTGATACTGTGAAGCACTCTTGCAAAACTCTTGAATCCCATTAAAAAATTCCAATGTATCATGTCTACCATACATCCAACCGCGATCCATTGACGATTTAAATTGCCTTTAAACATACCAACACATTTCAAACAATGATAAATGTAACATATATTATGTAATCAAAGTACATAGCATATATATCATCCATAAATCGTAAAAATGAATGCTCCCAAAAGGTCCTTATCACTCTAACCTAACCCATCCTTGAACGTCTAATCTCACTAGTGAATGTATGTCAACTTTTCAATTTTAAGGAAAATCCGGTAGCATTTCCCCCCAGTTCTCCAAGTACACGATGTAGGTAATAACTTACCTACATATGTACCCAGAGAACATGGTGAGAAAATGAGAAGCCCGGATATTCCTTAAAATCGAAAAAGAGACATACATTCACTACCTAAGTGAGATTAAACGTCCAAGAACAGTCCCAACTGGGGACTATTCAAGACTTTCTCCTATTGAGAAAGACTCGAACGAGTATCTAGGAAAATGATGATGCAAGCATTCAATTATTATTTGCATTTATTTGACATTCAACAATAAACAAGTTCATTAATTTAAATAGGGCTAATAATTAAATTAACATACATACAAAATCAAACTAAGTTTACTTATATATATATATGTATATAATATATATATGTATATGTATATATATATATAGAAATCCATTATATTCATACATTGCAATTTACTAACCACATTTAACAAACTAAAATGTTAACTAATATATATATTCTATTCATAAATTTCATTCAAAGCTACTCAAATTCAAACAATATATATATACATATGAAACTTGGATTAACTACTTGAAACCCTAACTTGAAATTTTGGAATACCAAACAATTAATACTAATTAATACATATGAAACTAAAATTTAGCAAGAACTCACCCTAATTTGAGAGTGAGAAAGACAAAGATTGAAGATTGAAGAATGCGTGCTTGGGCTTGGTTGAACAACACCCTCGAACATGCACCACCACCAAACACTGGCAGCCTCGAGCAACCACCAGCGGCAGCCTCGACCCACCACCAGCCACCAGCAGCCTCGACCCACGACCCCCCAAACGCAGCTTCAATTAATAGCCAAATAAAAAATTAATTTGAATATGAATGGAGTGGTGGTGGTGGTGGCTGGAATATGAAGAAGTGAGAAGAGAGGTGAGGACGAGGGAGACAGAGAGGAAGAGTGAAGGCGGGAGACAAAGAGGAGGAGTGAAGTGAGAACGAAGAAGCTAAGTGAAGTGCGCTGAAATTTCGTAGGGAGGAGAAGAAAAGGGTATATCCCGCTTTTTTTTTTTAAATGGCCAGCGGTTTGGCCTTGAACCGCTTTCCAATTTAACTAATGGTAAACGGTTCAAGGCCAAACCGCTGGCCATTAGTTAAAAGGCTAGCGGTTCGCGCCAAAACCGCTTGCCATTACACTTCCCTCTTTTTTTTTTTTTTTTTTTTTAATTAATCTAATGGGAAGCGGATTTTGTAAACCGCTTGCCTATAACCGCTTCCCATCACATTTATTCTACTAGTGCATGTATAGCTCAGATCATACCCTCTTCAAGCATCCAAAATATCATCATTTTTATAATACCTAGCTTGCCCTTCAAAACATAATGTAGCAGAGAGCTTGTATCCTTGTGCAATCGCCAGGCTTTTTTTGTTAGAAGTGCTTGGTTGAAACACTTTAGATCCCCAAAACCCATCCCACCCATGGACTTTAGCATACACATCAAATCCCAATTATGCAAGTGCATTTTCCTACTAGAAATTGTCGATCCCCACCAAAATCTAGGAATAAGAGCATAAAGTTCATCAAAAAATATTTGGATACGGAACACACTCATCATATACGTAGGGATTGCTCGTGCAACAACTTTTTATCATAAATCCTTTCCCGCCTAAGACAAGAATCTTTCCTTCCACCCATTAAATTTCTTCCATAACCTCTCCGATGCTTTAACACTGAAAAATGACCTTTTTGATTTCTCGATCAAGGTCGGAAAACCAAGGTATTTATCATGCTTCACCACCTCCTTGACACCCAAATTTTTTTCTAAATTTATTTAATTTTAAAATTTTAAATGTATTTTATTTTATTTGTTATTCATCCAAACTTATCTTTACTTTGAAATTAGATGAATTGTTATTAAATAAACGACCTTTTTGCTTAGCTTAGTGAAAAAGTTTGCATCTCACAACCAAGAGATTATGGGATTAAAATCCACTAGAAGCACTTTGTGATGGGGATTCCCTTATCCTTCCACTTCACTTCTAAAGGGCCTAGCTCCCTAACCCGGGTTGGAACCTGTGAGAGGTTTTGACCTTGACGAACCCTTCTCCCTACCAACCAAAAAAAATAAAAAGAACAAACCGACCCTTAATGGTTACAACAAAAATATAATAGGGTTCATAGTCAAGATTGACTTAGTAAAAATTACTACTCCCTTCGTGTTTTTTTTAAGTGTTACACTTCCCATTTTCGGCTGTGTTTTTTTAAGTGTTATACTTTCTTTTTTGGCAAAAAGCTACATTAAAATATTATATCTCTCTCCTCTCATGGTCCCCATCCAAACCCACTGTAACTTTTTTATTATATCTTTCCTCTCACATTATTTACTTTTCAATAAACTATTAGCCCTATTATTTTTCTTTTATAATTTTTTTAATACTCTTACTACCCCCACTTACCTCTTATTTTATTTAAGTCAATTTAATTTTCTAATACTATTCTCTAAAAAAAAATGGCTAAAATTATGTGCCGGTCAAATTGTAACACTTAAAAAAACACGGAGGGAGTAACAATATTATGCTTTATAAATTTATCCTTATAAAATTACAGAGTACCTTAATTATAATATAAATAAATGATAACAAATCATAATTAGGATAAATCCCTACCCTATTAAAAGTGTAAGATTAATCTTATGAATAGTGTTATGCCATTTACACCATTCAAAATGTTTATTTACATATATACCCCTCATTAATATGTACAATTTTTTCGACAGTTATACCATCTAAAATGTTTATTATTTACCATCATTAGTGACAATTACCTTTTATTTATAACTCTTAATAATAGTGTGTCGACATTTATACGCCAAATATATATATATGCTGTCAATAACTAAATTTGTGATGTAAGGTCAAATCGAAAAAAAAAATTGGATATGGTTAGATAAGGCACGCGCGTTAGTTACCATAGTAAGGTTAAAAGTTACCATTAATCAAATAGGATGATGTGATACTTTAGGCACCAAAAATGTATTTAAGTGCCACGTTGGATATTATTTGGGTCAAAGTCAAACTATTCACCAAAAATTATTTTTACTGAACTGAAATTATTATTTTTTATTAATTTTCTATTTTATTTCTTTTTTTAAAGTTACTAATTTTTACTAAACTAAAATTATTTTTGCTGAATTGAAATTAATTTTACTAAACTGAAATTATTTTTTGAAGATGAAGTGATCAAGGCCTTAGGTTATGTTCTCTTAACTTTACAAAAAAATTAGTATAAATAATTTCAGCTTATAAAATAAATTTTAATCATTAAAAATTAGTAACTTAAAGAACAAATATAATAGATAATTAGTTAAAATAATTATTAATTAGTTTTAGCTTTGATAAAAATAATTTTAATTTAATAAAAATAAGGTAAAGAGAATACTCACTCTGTGTTTTAATAAGTGTTATAGTTTGACCGACACATAGTTTTAAACAATTTAACTGAATTAAATAAAATAAAAGGTAAGTGGGGTAGTTGAAATATTATAAATTGTAAAAGAAAGATAATGGGGTAAATAGTTTATTAAAAAGTAATCAATGTGGGAAGAAATACATAATAAAAAGTACTAGTTGTAGTGGATTTGGGTGGGTACAATAAGAGGACAGAGATTTAATATTTAAATATAGCTTTTTACAAATAAAAAAGTATAATAATTATTAATACACGACTAAATTTGATAAGTATAACACTCATTAAACAACAGAAGGAAGTAAATAAGGAAATCATAACACCAATCAATACTTCAATAGTTATGGTTTCAATTCCCAGAACGGAAAAATCATTTGCAATGTTCACTTTGGTTATAGTTGCCAACTAGTCGTACCACTACCCCACCTAGTATCTACCAATCAAAAACCAACTGCTCACCAAATTTTATTCCCATCTCCATTATTTTGCTTCTCTTTCTCTTTGTTTGTCTTCATCTTGTCACCGTCATTAAACAGTAAGCAAATCTCTATCCCATTAAAAAATTGATAATTTTTCACCAGTTTTTGAAGAGATCAACAAAAATGGATGACCCACACAATCAAATTACGGTAAACAATTCACTAAGAATCCCTTTTTTTTTTTTTTTTTTTTTTTATAATTTACTCATTTTATCGTGTCTTTAGCTAGTCTTTATCGTTTTTATTTTATTGGATTTTGGTAGAGTTCTTAATAGTTGTATGTGAAGTTCATAATTTATTAATGTTTTTTTACAATTAAATTGATAAGAATTTCATTAAATTAATAAAATCGCGAATGAATTTTTTAATTTTTTACTTTTGGGTATATTCTCTCCTAAATTAAGTAAAAACTTACTCTAAATGTAGCAATTTCTTACTTAAATGTAGCAATTTCTTACATGTATTTTTGTGAGTAACATGAATTTGCAGTGCTTGAACTATGTGATGTTATACATGATGGTTAGGAATTGAAGAGAGTTTTGCGCCTTTTGATTTGTTTCATTTTTTTTTTTTTATAAAGAATTTATGTTTTGTGATTTTGCTTTTATAATACATTTTCTGAAATTAAAAATGTCCTTAACTCTAAGCTCACTTTCTGACTTAACATCATGAATTTGAGACCTACCATCTATTTGTGCACACATTTAAACACTACTCCCTCCGTTCTTAAATGTTTTTTACGTTTTCATTTAAGGTGTTCCTTTTTATTCTTTACATTTAGTATCTTTCTTATTTTAGTCATAAATTTTGGACAAAATTACCCTTATTTTACAAAAAAAATTACTCAAAAGTCTTTACTTTTTCATGTGCTATTGTACTTTTGTACTATTTTAATAGTTTTTCAACACATTATTACTTTCTCTCTCCTCTTTCCTCTAATTTCTTCACCCCACATGCTCAACATTGTATTTTTCAATAAAATTGTACTTTCAATCATTGAAATATTCCAATATACCTCAACTTTACACAATTTCTTAATAACCGCGCATAATTCCAAACGTAAAAAACATTAGGGAACGGAGGGAGTAGTATATTTAAAGACATGTATGTTCGGGTTAGACCATTTTCAGTAGAGGTGGGCAACGTGTCGTGCTAGGCCCCCACGGGCCGTGCCTCACCGATGATGGCTCATGTCGTGCCATGTCGGGCCACCATTTAGCACACCCCAACCCACGGCACGGCACGACCCACGTGCCTGGTGTGCCGGGCCGTGCCGGACTACCGAGCACCAGACACCCATAGTATTTTTAATTTTTTTAACAAAATTTAAAATGGATGTACTATTTAAATAATTTTATTAATTTTTTTATTTTATTTTAATAATTATATTATTATTGTTCTTTTCATTATTCTTATTTTTATTATTATAGTTATTTATCATTATTTATGTTATTTTATGGCCGTGTCGGGTCGTGTCTGGCGTGTCGTGCTGGCGGGCCAAACTATCGTGTTGCCCGTGGGTTCATGCCAGGCTCGTGCCGGATTCTTGAAATCGTATTCACGGCACGACCCACTTCTCGGTCACCGTGTCGTGCCGCTGGCGGGCTTGTGTCTTGTCGGGCCTATCTTGTGCCGGGCTTGTGCCACTGTGGGCCGGCACGGCCCATACCCACCTCTAGTTTCAGGTCAAGTATGTTCAGGTCATATTCGGGTCGAGTTAAATTCAAGACATTTTTAGTTCAATTATAAGGTAATTTAATTCGAGACATTTCGGGTATCGTGTCTATACGTGTTCTGGTCAATTTCAGGTATCAGATTTGTTCGGGTCAAACATTTCGGATTAATTTCGAATCAGGTGAGTTCGGGTGTCGAGTTAGGATTGAGTCAACTCCCATTTTGGATCGGGTATGGGTTGGGTCGGATCAATTTCGGGTTTTGGGTCATTTACCAGTCAATGTTTTTGGGTTAATTTCGAGTTATGGGTTGGGTCGGGTCATCGGGTTTGGGTTAGGATTGCCACGTCCAATTGTATATGATTTTGTGCATTATAATATTTGCTCGCAAAGAGATTAAAGAGAGTTAATGGAAAAACTAATTAGTTACTTATAATTTGAAAAATCTAATGCACCCTATAACATATAGTAAAGCTAACATATTTAACTTAAATGATAGCCAAAATTGCAACAATTAGTGACATAAAATATTATCTTTGCTCATTTTTATTTAAACTAGTAAAAGTAGTATTGTTTAGAGTATAAAATACTTTATTTGAGTTGAAACTTTAGCACTATTATTAGGAAATTTAGTGTACACTTACACTTTTTGGGTTCTTTTGTGAACACTATCCGTTTTTAAAAAAATGTTAACAATTACACATTTTTGCAAAAGTTTGTGAATCTCTACCCACAGACAAATTTCGTCTAATTTCACCATTTGTGGGGCCTAAATTTTCGTTTTCCTCCAATTAACCCCCTTCCCAACTACCTCTTCTTCCCCTTTTATTATTTCCCCCAAATACAGCCAATAAACCAAAAGATATCATTTTGGGTTTAGGGTTGGAAGGGGGTTAAATAGGGTGGGGAAACAAACATGTGGGCCTCATAAACAGTGAAATTGGACGGAATCTAGTGGGTAGTGGTTCACAAACTCCTACAAAAAATGGATATTGTTACCAAATTTGTTAAAAACGGGTAGTTGTTCACAAAAGAGCTAAAAAAAGTTGGTAGGTATACACAATTTTTTTTTTTTTTTTTTTTGGTATAATATGTATGAATGTATGATCACACAATTACGATCAGTTATTATTAATGATTAGCGTGCTTAATTTCATGTGCAGGATAAATCATGTGAAATATGTGGGGATATTGGCAGGGTAGATTACAGCATCATTTGCTCCAAATGCAAAGTAACTCGCGAACATGTGTACATTACTCTATCTTATCCCTTCTAAAGTTCTCATTATTGCAGAAAAGAAAAAATTACTCCGCAATAAATAAAGTGCTCAGAGAGCATATTGTATATTTATAGAGAAACCAAATTAAGTAACATCAATCTCAGCCAAGGTACCTTGTGGAATAGAGTTAACAATAGGGGCGAAGCCAGAAAATAAAATTTAGGAGGGCCGAGAAATAAAATATATATAGAGTATTGTATTTTCTACATTTCTCATAAAAATTTGCATTAGCGCATTGTATTTTCTACATTTCTCATAAAAATTTGCATTAGTGCTACTATAAATTAAATTTGACTTCTAAAAGTATTGCAAATTAAAATTAAGCAATTCATTTAATGGTTTTTTTGTGATAAACTACCTAATAAAATCCATATTTTACAAGAAACTACCTAATAAAAAATATGTTGCAGTAAACTACCTAATAAAGGTATAATATTGTAGTAAACTACCTAAGAAAAGGTAAAATGTTGTAAAATACTACGTACACCAAAAATCCACCGATGATCGACCTCAAAAGACTTCCAAAATCACCGCTTTCATTCCCAAAACTAACAACTTGCTTGAAATCGTCTACACTACATCTAAACCACCTTTCAACCCCAAAACCACCAACTCTAACCCTAAAAACCACCATCCCAAATCACTAATCTACACTCAGCAACTCGGAATATCCTCCAACCACCCCGAAAATAACCCTACCACCTTGAAAATCAACTCCGGTGGTTTCGGGGGTATTTTAAGGTGGATCAACATCCTAAAATTAAGTCAACGATGAAATTTCGGTCAAAGATAGTATATTACAACATTTTATGTTTTATTAGTTAGTTTCTTAAAACATTTTTTTATATAACAACATTTTATGTTTTATTAGTTAGTTTCTTAAAACATTTTTTTATTAGGTAGTTTCTCACAAATTTTAGGTTTTATGTGGTATTTTATCACAAAATGTCCTTCATTTAATTGGATATATAGGGAAAAGAATAAATTAAAATTGAAATAAAAATGTTTGGAAAAACTAATAAATAGTAATATGCAAACAGTAATGATCGAACATGTGACCTACTTCCTTTTTGGGCCTTGGTTCAATTGCTCTAACCACTAAGCTATATGGTTGCATAGTAATTTATGTCTACAACTTATTTTTATATCTAGAATTATTTTCTTATATAGAAAAAGAATACCGGTGATTGGGCCATCTAGAGGACTCGACTAAGTCTAGCATGCAACCAAATGAGCTACACAAGAGGTTGATGCTCCATTTATTAAGTGGGATGGATCATTGTTCTAAATGGTGAATTAACTATACTTTGACAGTTTATATTCTGTCGAACAGACAACTCCTTACTTTTAAGAAATATTATTAAACGCGAGTCTGGGCCACACCCGCAAATCAAGAGAATGAGTCCACTTCACAAGTCCAAGGAGATTCAATCCTAAAACCATATGGCAATAGGAGGAGGAGTCCCTTAGCCTTATAAAGTGTTTAATTCTCTCTTTTCAACCAATATGAGACACTTACATATGGTGACACTTGAAAGGTTTATTATTCAACACTCCCCCTTATATGTAAGGTCTATTTAACTTAAGGGTCACTTGATCCAAATTCAATTTGGCCCAGAATACTTAATGTCATTAAAGGTCCCAAATTTTGGACCTGACAATATACTCAAACCATTATAGGTCCCATACCGTGGGTCTGACTCTGATACCATATTAAACGCGGGTCTGGGCCACACCCGCAAACCAAGAGAGTTTGTGGACCGAACTCTCCTCCTCCTTGTTCGGGTTGCCCAGGCCCATTTCATATTGTTTCGAAATTTAACAAATATTTAGTATTTTGACAGCGCCATTTGTTCTATATCCCAGGTACTGCATGAGAGTATTGTATGATGATGACAGAGATAAATGGGTTTGTGAAGAATGCAACTCCTCCAATCATTCGTCAATAAAAGGTGTCTTTTCAAATTTCTGGAAACATACATACATATGCGCTTTTGAAGATTCTTCAGCAATGACTAGTTTATTCTGCAGCTCCAACCAAACAACCTAGTGGCACAAGAAGAATAACAATTAAGAAACCTCCTCAAAATTCCAAGGTGCACTATTTACCACCCGAGGAAGCTAAGGTGATAAATTATGGAGCAACCACAAGAAACTTGTCTTCACCAAGAAAAGTACATATTGTACACAGGCCCTCAGGGAACAAGCCATCTGCATCGAAGATGGAGGCTATTCCGTCATCCTTTCCTACTCCGAAATTCAGGATTAAAGTAGGGCCATCCGGAAGCAAGGAGCCACTGAATGACTGGAGCATGCCTAGCTATTTAAAGGATACTAATTTGTCACTTACTGGTATCAGACCCTTTTTACTTCCATTCTGCAGTATTGCCTGGAAAATATTTGTGCCTGCAATTTTCTATTGTTGGGAGAGTAAGGAGTGATTTGAATTTTTGATATTGGGAATTATGTGGATGAAAAATTTTCCGAATTCTTGGTCCTTTAGGCATCAAAGTGATTTCAATATGGAGAATTAGAAATGTTTGCGCAATCTGCTTTTTATCTTCATGATGCTAATATGACTGTAGATATTGGAGCAAATGGTTGTTTTAGAAGCCAGTAAAAAGAGTTTTCAAAATAGTTTTAATTTTGTGGTCAGTTTATGAGAGCTATATGCCAAGTTAACTTAAATAGGATCAATTACGATGAATGATAGAGTATAAAACATATTCCTGGGCCTCAACCATGAACTTAAGCTTTTGGTTGAGTTGGTCCACTAACAATGAAGTTTCAATGACTAAAGTTTTTTCTGAAACATTTTCTATCCTTTTTGCATGTTTAACATACTAACTGTGTTCTGAAAATTCCATTATTTTGAATTAACCTGGTCTGTTTTGTTGGTATTTTCTGTCATTGCAATTTCAAAATACAATGTTCAGCATCTTTGAGTCTTTGTATAAGCTGGTGGAAGAACAAGTGCACTGGACATGTCCTAGTTGCGGCTTGCTCACCAACTTAATCTGTACATAGATCTTGTTTGATAGTACATTAAGCTAACTTGGCAATATCAGTTGTCTGTCAAACCTGTTCAACTTCAAAATGTTGTAACTGTGATATATTAGTTCAGTTGTATATGGAATGGCTTCATTTTTATGGAACATATTAAGGATCGGATGAGTTTGTTTATGGACCATCCTGGAGATTCCAAAGGTTTACTCTGCTGCTTGCAGAAGTAATAAGGTGTGTGAGCGGGGGGTTATAATAGCAATGGCATTCAGCATGTGGCTATATATTAGATTACGTGGTTTAAAAAGGCTTATGAAAACTATTTATTTGTGATATAGATATGTTTCTTGCTTCTTCATGTCATAGATTCTTATAATTGCATGAATGTTTACAAGTGTAGCTTTGATTGAACTTACTTAGATTGGTCTAAGTCTACCCTTCTCTTTCTAGCTTTCTTAGACAAATTCAGTTCCTCTTTTAATGTGCCTTTTATCTTTTCTAACTGCTGTAATTTTCTATAATATAGAAAAACGAGTCTTAGGAATTTGATTTTAGTCAGTACTATAGTTTCTAAGCCTTATTGTTACTGAACTTCAGCTTAGGAGATGTAAAACAGTAGAAGATTTGTATATTAGCCAGTGCTGTTTACTTATTTAAGCTGTATGAATCAATTAAAGATTAAAAGCAATGTGTAGAAAGATAATTCCCCTGCATTTTGTTTTTCTTAAAAATTTACTGTGTTTTTATTGAAACAACGTATTTGCAATCTTTCTTGCAGAGAAAGATGATTCTGAGCCAACTGTATCTAGGTGGTCTTCAGCTACAAATATACAAACATCAGATCCCATGTTGCAGAAGGAAACAGGTAACCATTGCCTATACAATTTACTGCAAGTACATGATGCAGACAATGCTCAAAGTCCATGCTATTGTATATTCTTGTTTAGGGTCCCATATTTGTGGTTGTAACATAATGATTTATTGCAATATTGCATTGCTAAGCTCGAATACTATACTTGTACTCTTGATCTCCAGAGTTGCAATGTTTGAAGATCAAATATATAACAGAATAATTGGCATTCTTTAGAGGAAATAAGAAAATGTCAAAAACAACCTACTAACTCTACATTGGGCTAGCATTAGCCATTAGGAAGAGAATGAGTTACGCTACAGATGATGTCTTCTTGGAGTTATGCAGATTAGTGTCTGCAATTTTGAGTGTAGGTTATATGGTTTAGGCTCAATTTTTGTTTTTGTGTAAATTGTCAATGCTGCTATCTAAGGTGGTGCACCTTCTAAGTTGCAAATAAGACGAGTTATATTAGAGTTTTATGGGGTGTCATATTATAAAGTCAATCTGCTTTCAAGCTCAGATTCTTTCACCTAGATGTTCTTGTACCACTGCTTTTCAGCTTGACTGATGCAGCATATATACTGCTTATAGTGCTCAAGCCCAAATGCTCACCCAGTTTTTGTGAGATTTTTTCAGATGAACCTGCACATAGACTTAAGGGGGAAAGTCTGCCTGCTAGGCGTGTGTCTTTTGCTGAATTTCCTAAACCTAGTGTGAAGAGAGACAATATAAAATCGGGCCATACTCCTGCTCATTTAGGCCTGCATTTGCCAGATGTCAGTTCAGGTACGTAATTGGTCAGATGAAATTGAGTTATGAGCGAAATGTTTACCTTGAAGTTTTATCAACCAGTTCCTATGGATTCTGCCTAGTCAGAAGTGCTTTTCCTAATAAATAAAAACATTGCGAGCTTTTGTTGCTTGACTGATATTTTCTTCTTGCTCTGTCAATACTTGTCACAGATGGATGTGTGCAACAATCTCGTATAACAACCATAACTGCTAAGTATATGTCTCTGGAAATTTTTTATAGAGATGATATAAAGTCTGGCCATAAATCTCAGCGAGTCCAGTCTTTCCCTACTGGAAGTTCAGGTATGTCTGCAGATAAATATTTATCATGATTCAGGTCATTTGGTTTCTACCTAAAGCAGAGAATTTGTGGTACGTATTATAATGTTGCATCGAGTATTCCTGCTCAATACAGGGATCATATACTAAGCATGTCAAAGCTCCCAAATTGAAAAGCTTACCTTTCATCTGTCATTTAATCACAGTTGAATGCTTTTATACCACCAAACTTAATTTACCTATGATTTTCCTGGAAGCTGGTATTTCTTGTTTTAAGATCAAAGTTTAAATAGAGATAGAACTAACATTCAAGAACAAATATTATCGTATTTGTGTCCAGAAGATAGCAAGATAAAATGATTTTTCTTTTTTTTTTTCATCAACATTTATGTGTACCACACTAAATTTAAAGACATGATGAAGAGGTGTTTTTTCACCAAAAGATATGATTCTTAAAAATTTTAAATTTGTGTCCAATTAATCAACGTGATTGTTATTATGATTGAACAGGAGTTAATGTTTATGCAAAACCTCAGCCAAATAAAGTTGATTCTAAGGCGAGAGACTCTCTGAGTGTTACAATGGTTCTTGATAGTTATCTACCAAACCATCCTGCAATGTCACCAACATGGAAGTGAGTTTCTTTCTTTTGGCTTCTTGAGTATAATAGCATGTCATTTGGGAGCATCTTGTGTCTTAATTGACTTTGCAATGAGGCTCTAGGACCCTTATTGTCTTGGTATGGCCTTAAACCTTTCAAACATTGTTTTGAGCTCAAATTTGTTTACTTTTGCAGGGGAGCTTTTAAGATCGCGAGTGATCTTTTGCCATGTAGTGTCTTTGATGAAATTCAAGCACATCCTCCATGTAAAGTTCATAGCAAAGTGTACAAGCTGTCAAAACAATTTCCCAAGATACTTCCCTTTGAAATGCTACCTCGAAAAAACTCTTGGGTGGATTTCTTCGAGGATGATGTTCCAAGTGAGCTTGACATCGGACTATACTTTTTCACCCCAAGGATGTCCAATTCAAATGGAGGTTCTAACTTGGATGTTACATCAACGGTTGGACATGAACAATGTTACTCTCCTCTTTTGGAGTGCCTAGACATACATGAGCAGCTCTTGAGAACTCAAATTGATGGAGTGGAGTTGTTTGTCTTTTCCTCTAAACATTTGCCAGAGGATTCCCGCAGTAAGCTTTGTCCTTACTCCTTGCAGTTATGTTCTCCACAATTACAGCTCTCCAATATAAGGAGGTTTTCACTAATTTTCATGTCCTTTTGTTCTAGCAGAAATAAATCGAAAGTTTTTCTTATGGGGACTGCTTCGACCTACTTCTTTCAGAAAGCCTTAGCCTAGAAGACAACTTTCTCCTTCTCTGCATGCCAATTCAACCAGCCTGTGGAATTAACCTCACGTACACATCATGTATCATACTTCCTGACATTGGTACCCTTCTCGAAGGTGAGGTTACGATAAAAAATCACCTTATTTGGACTTCTAGACAGGGCAATACAGTCTTCCTATGATCCTGGGTAGTTATCATTTGTGCAGGAATTCGAACTTGTGGGCATGTTTTCTTCTCACTTAGGATGTTTGCTGGGCATTATTAGATTGCTATCATGGTCAAATAAATGGTGGTGAATCTTTAGAGGTGTTTATGTCTTAAATTAAGGAATAAGATGAGGATTATCAAGGTACTAAACTTATAAGGCTTGTTAATACTTATGCTCTGAACCATGGTTTTGACGTTATTGTTGAGTATAGATAAATAACAATCATTAAAGTGTGATTATGGGGCCATTTTATTTTGTATGCAAGCTTTCTTAATGAAACTCTTATGTTCTAAAACACAAGACCAAATTGGTGATAAGAAAACTGAATGTTTATGTGGTGATCACCATAAGCTTCTTGATGTCGCAAAATATTATGGTATATGTTATTTATAATTCGGCAAATCTCTAAATTTATAAGAGGTATTGAGGTATTAGTTGAACACCACCATACTTGTTTGATAATCCAATAACATTTTGTCCCCATTTATCACGTTGGTTATCTCCAAAACCTACTAAAGAAACTTAACATAGATAATAGACGTTTAGTTGTTGGTAGTTGTCAAATATTAACTCATGGAACTGAGTTTAGGTAATGTCCATTAAATTAGTCGGTAATCCAGCCTGGTTATAATAATGATCCAACGCGGATTGATGTAATTGGCACAGGGAATGTAGAATTCATGAATTTACAAGAGTGCCTACAAAGTGCACTTCTACCTACAGAAAACTACAAAGAAAGCTAACATTAGGAACCAAGTACTCTTAAGGTTTCATGTCTCTTATAGCTGTATACTGCAGTAACTGATCATAAAATCCAAAATGTAAGAATTAAGTTAAAACAAACTCTGCACAAGATATTATAAAGAAGTCATTACGAGTACATATTTAACATTCTAAAGAAGTGCCGAGAGTAACTTCATCATAATATAAGATAGCATTACATGTCCACTGTAAGATATAGGAAAGATATAGCATAGTTGAACTTCACAACCTCTCAATGACACCAGCAATGATAATTTACTGGAATCCCAACTAACACTAGAACAAGTAAACCTACATCGCTGGCTGCAAGATGTTGAAAATACCTCTAAGCCATCCCTCCACTAGTGGCTGTTCTGATGATCTGGAATAGAGCTGAGATAGAAAAGGAGGCAAAAGCAAAAATCAATATAGACATTAAGCAATGAACTAATGAAGGCCTAAAATATATTAATATAAAAGTTACAAACACAAAAAAAAAAAAAATAAATAAATAAATAAAAGGAAAACAGAATAAAACTCGACAAGAAACTGCATTAGCTCTTAATGCAGCAAGTAATAATTCCAGGCCCCTGGCTTGCTTATATTTAGTAAGGTTACAAGTACTTCCAACTATATAAATTTATTAAATTGTGAGTTGCAGTTAATTACATGAGTACATGACTTTTGATTACAAGGACTCTATTTCTAGCCTACAACCACGAAGGCACAAACAATGCTATTCCCTAATCAGACATGCAGGGTGCAGGTTAATCTAGCTAGTGTCAAATACATAACGCTGTAAATTCTAGACACAAAGACAGTTTTAAAATTAAACAAAGGTGCAGGGACACAGCTAAAATGGAACATATTCCTGATTTTAGAAGACTTCATTAGCTCTGACACACATACTCAGGCTAGCTTGATTGTTAATTAAAGTTGAAATGCTTTCCTTCTACGATTAAGCAGTTCTAAATTAAAGTGCCTAGGTAAGGCCCTTGACAAAATAGAAAACAACTATGTGACCTAGAGGCTCTGGGTCATATAAATGCAGACATCTTAAGTTTTAGTCAACCCACACTCATATATCATCTCCAATACTCTGGTTTAGGACCAAGTGACACGAAGAAAAATAGCCGTTGGGCACGTCATCTCCACAGCTAATGACATTCTGTAGTCATCCTCAAGATGAGCAGATAAGAAGTTGACCCTACTCACCCCCGATATCCAAGAAACCATGGAACCATAAGGTCTAGGATTTAGTCTGCTTGGGATGGAGAAAAGATTGTCACCTCAAAGGTTTTCAGCAATAGCCTATCATGCTTTTTGATGAGATATGCTTAAAGAAAGGAGAAACAGATCAACTTCTTTTAAACAGAAAGCTCAAAGCTAAAATAAATACTGCAGATTCCTTCATCTTCTACTTTTGCAAAGCAAGGAGAGTTTTATTGGATTGCATAAAAGCACTATTCCAGAAACCTAATAAAATACTCTAATATATACAGTCAAGATGCTTTGAAGAAACCATTAACCCATTCAGACCTTAATACGGAGTATTACATTTTTTTTCAACGTCATGAATGTCAGAGCACCAGAAAGGCAAAATTTTCAGTTATAACCTTTAAATAGTCCTCTCCATCCATCCCTCAACTGTCGATACCATCAGATACTAGACTAATATCGTTATCACTGCAATTGACAAAGATGAGACCTACTATAGATTCAACATACTACCAGCAACATACGCCAAGAACGACAAACTTGTATAAATATGATTAACAACAAAAGGTTGCAAATGTAACCTTCACATTCCAAAGATCACGAGGTCCTAAGACTCCTAACCTTAATTGAAAAAAACCTACCTAGTCATATGGATAGTAGAGAAGAAGTGAATGTAAGCAAGCAATGAGGAAGTTCACAAAAACAAACACCCTCCTATCCCAACACCCCCACAAATTGAAGGTCAAAATGAAACATGCACACATATGTAAATTTGGATGCCTTCCCCTTCCCTTGCTAGTCGAGCATAGATATCCTTGTGATTATTTCAACTTGTGAGCATATGAACAAGGTAATACCAATTGTAGGATTTAGCCGGAGACTAAAGGGGTAATGATTTTATGGAGCTGAGATATATGAAAAATGCAACATTGTATTGCAGGGTAGCATAAGGCAGTTCAAAACTAGAAGAAAGTGCTTACATGATCCGATAACAACGAACACAAAGAATCCAAGTAATACAGGCCCAACAGGATATGTGTTTCCCTTCTTTGTTGTGCTTTCAGCCACTAAACCTCTTTTCTTGATGTTCTTTTCAAATTTCTCCACCTTCCTCTCCGAAAGACGCCTTGAAGTTGTCTGTGTACAGTATAAGAATGATAAGACATATAGACAACTCATATATATAAATATAATAGGCTGATAGCTGGTTTTGCAGTCAGATCTTAATAGATGTTCACACTTGGATCCACCAAAACAACAACACATTGCTAACCCTTGACTCGATTGCTTGGCAAACACACAAACCTTGTTGAAATTTCACTGACATAACACTTATCTATTAGAACTACCACTCAGCTTGCGCACCAATAAGATGATACATCAACTCCAGATGAAAGTATTATCATCTAGAGACCTTACCAACTTGAAAATTATTCAATCAAACATACACTCCTCAAAACAAAAATTTTCTTTCTATATTCATCGCTACGACTTTTTCATTAAACCGTTAAAGAAGCACTTGAATTAGGAATTGGTAGCTCATTGAAAATTTGAAACCTATCAAATATACTCATCCAATGAAGATTCTAACATTCAGAGTTTGTCATGTAATTTAATTCCTTTGGAATCCCACAATGTGATAATTTTAAATTTGAACATTCATATACAAAACGTGAAATAGCATCAGGGTTATTAGTATATGATCCAAGCTTCATCTTTTCAAACGAGAAATATATTGTTTAATTAAAGCCAAAATTCTTCAGAAGATAATCATAAGAGTTCGGTAGTAGTTAACTTATGAAGTCACTAAACTGAAAATTAAACAAAAGAAACAGCATTCATAGCTAATTACAAGATGCATATATTAAAAGCATAAAAATACATCAAATCAAATGAGTAAATCAAATTTGCAAACAAAATAAATTCAAGCATCCTATTTCTGAGGTTCTTCAACTCACAAATTTAACTATTGAACCCTAAAAAAAACTAGATCTAGGCTAAATTGGGCAAAATAAAAGTAAAATTATAAATCTTAGTAAATAATAAAATCAGCAACGAAAATGAAGAAATAAAAGTAGAAAAGGATGAAATCTTGCAAATTACGGAGTATAAACATGAAAGACAGAGAGTGGTTATGGAATACCATGATTGAAGACGAGATCTGAAAACGAGGAGGAGCGAGAGAGGTAAACGTAGACTTGGTTTTTTTTTTTTTTTCCCGTGTGTTGAATTGAAGAACAATAACGACAATTGCTATAAATAGTTAGAAGGCCTATTGGGTCGAGGTATCCTGGATTCTACAAGACAACGCGCATATTTTTGGCTACACTCCACTCGGGTTTAGCCGCCTCTCAACCTCTGGACCTCAATTTTTTTATTTTTTTTTAATGATAAGAAGGATTTTGGTCGAATTTCAGCCCTCATGATTTTTTTGGTACAGTATTTACGGATCAAACTCTTTGAGAGCGAGGTGGGAAGGGTAAGGGATCTCCACCCTCAAAGTGGCTCTAGCGGGGATTGAACTCTAAACTTCAAGGTTATAAGGTGTAATATTTTCCATAAGACCAAGTTTAGTTTAGTAAATGTCTTGGCACTGGACCCTCTATACGACTATACATAACCAAAATTACATACATTCATACAAAGGAAAAATACATTTTATTAATATCAACTATTGACAATTTATTTTTAATAATCCCAATTAAGGTTTATTATTTAATAATCTCAACTATGGAATCAGTTTGCCTTTTGTAGTCCTAACCGGTCAACATCAAGTCAGCAACTTGTTGTAACAAGTAACCAATAGACCAATACACTTGTCAGCAAGTGATTAGTCTAATATAAAAAAAAATAATAATAAAATAAAAAAGGAAAACAAAAACCTAAGCCACCACCCTTTCACTATGAAACCTAAGGCAAAACTCCTAGCCCACCAGAAAATGGATGGCCGCTTCCTATAACCACCGAAAACGGTCGGTCGACCCCTCCTAACCCCTGAAACCATCAGCCACGCTCCACCCCACCACCTAAACCACTCCCTCCTTTCCCTCCTTCCTCGCTAGAAAATCATCAAAAGTAGACCACTACCACTTTTCTCACGCTAACCCCAAACATCCACCATCAATCAATACCACAATCACCTAGCCGCACCACCAATCACCAACCTTTAGCGATTACCCCAACAGCACTGCAAACAAGCCTACAATTCATAGCTCCAACCACCACCCACACCCCAATGGTTGAATTTTTTTTTTTTCCGTTTATTATTTTTTATATATTTTTTTTGTTTAAAAAGCCACAAATGTAGGTGATGAGTATCGATTACAAGATTTCTTGAAAGCGGGAGGAAAACACTAACCACTTGAACTATCACTCACTCTCATGGTCCCAAGTGATATTAATGACTTTAATCAAAGTTTAACCAAATGTGGGTGCTTCACACGTCAAGTTTTTAAACCTGATTTAAAACCCCCAAAAGTTGGAGGAAGGTCTGAAAATTTAAATAGCTCACCAACCCACCAAATTTTAGAAAATTTACAACCTTTATAAAAAATACAACATATATTTTAGATTTTAACACCACACAAAAACCCGAAAATGGTTTTTAACACCTCCAAAACAAAAAATTGATTTTAACACCACACAAACTAAGAAAAAATTGGTATTACCACCACTTTACGGATTCCTAAACGGAATCAGTTAAGTGCCACGTGTCGCTTTCTTATTGGCCAAAAAAATTAAAAAAAATCAAAAGACCTAAAACTACCCAGCCACCCCAGCCCCGCCGCCGCGCCACCACCACCTAACCACCCACCCACCCCTGCCCTCCCAAAAACCACCACCAGCGACGCCTTCGCTCACCCAACCTAGCTGAAACCTCCCCCTCCTTTTCCCGCAACCGCTTCGCCCCCAAAAAACCACCTAACCCAAAACCCTCCTACCCTAATACGGTCACGATTCCGGCCAAAAATGGTTGAAATCGGCCGATTAAGGCAACTCAACCCCAAAACCGGTCGATTTCGTCCAATTATGGCCGGAATCGCGACCGTATTGGGGAAGGAGATTTTGGATTTGGTCGTTTTTGGGGGCGAAGCGGTTGCGGGAAAGGGAGGGGGAGGGTTCAACTGGGTTGGGGGTGTGAAGGCGTCGCGACCGGTGGTGGTTTGGGGGAGGGAAGGAGTAGGTTTGTTGTTGGCGGTGGTTGCGCGGTGGTGGGGCTGGGGTGGCTGGGGTAGTTTTAGGGTTTTTTTTATTTTTTTTAAATTTTTTTTTAAACAACTAAAATGGTGACACGTGTCACTGAGAACCCCACTTAACGGAAATTTTGGACGGAATCCGTTAAGTGGTGGTAATACCAATTTTTTGTTAGTTTGTGTGGTGTTAAAATCAATTATTTTTTTTGGAGGTGTTAAAAATCATTTTCGGGTTTTTGTGTGGTGTGAAAATCTAAAATTTCCTTTAATTAATAAATAATAATTAAAAAAAAAACTTTTAACACTATTTCAATGTTTCATTTTCTCTTACTTCTCAATCAATCAATTTACTTCTCTCATATAAAAGGAAACTCTGTGATTAATTTCGCTTGTACAGTTGCACACACATCAAGACTTTCTCTCATGTAAAAGGAAACTCTGTGATTACTTTTACTGCCAGGTGTTTCAAGGGTGGGGGAGGGGTACGTTTCGTGGGCTTATAAAGGGGTTTCGTGGGCTTTTGGAGGAGTGGAGGAGGAGTTTCACAGGGTTTTGGGGTTCCAATGGGGTGGTGGGGCTTGGGAAGGATAGGGTGGGCTGTGTTTTCTGATTTTTTTTTTTTTTTTTTTTTTGTGTTTTGTTTTTTTTTTAAAATATAATTGGCTAATTAGGTCTCGACACGTGCCAATTATGAAAAAAAATTTAATCCTTTCAACCGGTAACCCACTAGGTGAAAAAATGAGGGAAGGGGAATTATCACCAGTTCAAACAGAACCGGTGGGTAAAATATTAATCCCACCGGTTCAAAATCGGTGGCTTTGTTATTAAAAAAATTCGCCCCCTTTATAAACCCCTAACCCTAACTCTCTCTCTTCAACCGCTCTCCTCTCTCCCCTCTCCTCCTTCTCTTTCTCTCTCCTTCTTTCTCTTCTCTGTTCTCAACTCGTCTCCTTCTCTCTCCTGTTCTTCTCCTTCATTCTACTCATTCTCTCTCTTCTCCTTCGATCTCATCTCCTTCTCTCGCTCTTTCTCTTTCGTTCTACTTATTCTCTTCTCCTTCTCTTTTGTTTCCACCATTACCAAGACCACCACCGCAACAATAACACCACGAAGACCGACATCAACAACACCGACTTTAATCGAGGTTAGGGTTTAATTCGAATTTAATCCAAATTATTCGAGGTTAAGGTTTACTTTCTGGGTTTAATTCGATTTTGGATTTTAATCGATTTTTCTGGGTTAAATTAATCAATTTTTAGATTTAAATTCGATTTTTTTTTTGGGTTTAATTAATCGATTTTGGATTTTAATTTGATTTTTCTCGATTTTTCTGGGTTTAATTAATTGATTTTTCTGGGTACATGCATGTGTTTTTTGGGTTTTTTTATTTTGAGTTTTCTTGTTTTCTTTTTATTTTTTTGGGGATTTATGAGTTTATTTTCATTTTTTTTTATTATTTTGAATTTTCTAGGTACATGCATGCATTTTTTTTTTTAATATTTTTATTTTGAGTTCGTGAGTTTATTAATTTTTTGTTTTAATTGATGCATGTATATTGATTTAGATGTTAAATCGAAGAATCAAGATGCAGGAATATTGATTTAGATGTTGTATGGGGTTTCTTTTCATTTTGATATTGTAATTTTTTTTTTGATTTATATTGTAATTTTTTTTATTTATACGTTGTAATTGTTCGATTATATTGATTTTTATTGTAATTTTTTTTTTGATTATATGTTGTAATTTTTCAATTATATTGATTGATATTTTTCGATTTATATTTTGATGTGGTAATTTTTTTTGAGCTAATTGGTCGATTATATTTCAAGTGAAAAGAGAAAAAAAAATTACATGTACATTGCCACCGGTTAACCGGTGGCATTTATATTTAATACCCAAAAAGAATAAAGTGGAAATGTTTTTGCACTGGTTGCTTTTCAAGGGAGTATTGTCACCCCCCAAATGCCCAGCGGTTCAAAACCGGTGGCATAGGGGGGTTTTGAACTGGTGGGGAATTGCAATTTTCTACTAGTGGCCGGTTATAGGGATTGAAGAAAGTACGTAAACACCACTATAATTCGGATTAATCCTTAATAATCCAAAGTTGGGATTATTTAAAGAAAATCAAACAAAGTTGGGATTTATTAAAACCACTTATTTTTAGAGTATGATTGTTTGGGTTGTAAAATTATCATTGTATAATACTACCTCAGTTTTTTTTTTCCATTCATCTACTATTCATTAGGTCGGTACAAACAAAAAACATTGACCATAGTCCATTACTAATTATATTACAAAAAAAAAGTCTTATTAGAAGCATTTCAATGTGTATATATAGGTAGTATCCAAATAATGAGTATGAAATTTTTATTATATATATATATATATATATATATATATATATATAATATATATATATATATATATATATATATATAAAAGAACTAGGAACTAATCTAGGCACTTAAATCATGTTAATCGGACGGCTCACATGCTTCTCGTGTCATTAATGGCATTTTCGCAATATTTGAATGTTACAAACTGATTCTTAGCTTCATTTCTAAAAAGTAAATGAAAAGTTAGTAAAAGTAAATGAAATCAGTCATAAAGTAAATGAATTGAAATTGCCTTAAAAGTTAAAAAAACTGGAAAAAAGTTTGAAAATCCGCAAAATTACGAAAATGCCATTAATGAAAGCGGGTGAGATGTGAGCCGTCAGATGGAGCACGATTGAAGGCTAAGATTGGTTCCTAGTTCCTATTATTCACCTTGGTTCTCACATGATCTCAATTATATATATATATATATATATATATATATATATATATATATATATATATATATATATATATATATATATATATATATATATATATATATATATATATATATCCTCTGTTTCTTTTTAGTTGACACGTGCTTTTAGTCACATTTACCAATGTACTAATTCAACCATTTATATCTTTAGTTACGTTTAGAATCCGTACAAAATGTAAAGTGAGTAGAACAAATAAAATAGAGGGAGTATTAATACGATTCTTTTTAGGGTTGAACGTATGATCTCAAAGCATATAAATATGTAATCTACTTTTTTTTTTTTGTTACTAAAGAATTATTGGGACGATTTCCTTAGAAATAGTTTAAATCAAAATTAATTCCTACTATGCTTTGTTTTAAAAACTTATTCTCTGAATAGTGTCCACGTAGGATTGGGTATTAGCTTTGTTTTTTGTTATTTATTTATTTTATTTTACTTATTTATTTATTTAATTTAGTGTGGAACCGCAATTGATGATAGACATTTTCTCAATACCACGTCTCCCCTGTTTTTCCATTTTCTCTATCAATAGCATCATTACAGACAAAAGATTGAGTTTTGAGTATCTCTTCCAAAATAATACTACTACAGACCAGGGGAGGGGAGTTAAAAACATTCAGCTTGTACATTACTTTCGTGAAATGCTTTTTCATTGATCAACTCTTGTGTTTTATCTCTTAAAAGCTCTTATTTCTTCTTTAGATCTTCTTTCTTCTTTCTCTCTCTAAAACTCAGTTTTTAATTGTAATTTTATTATGATTTTCTGAGTAATTTTATACAAGTAAGAATTCAAGGGAAAATCTCAACTATATATATATATATATATATATATATATATATATATATATATATGAACTTCAATTCCCATGTATTTTTTTACTTCTTGTTTAATTTCCTTGCAATTTTTTTGCAGGTGGGGCTATTAAAAAAACACTTGCAGATGACTACATGTAAAATAGTGAGATGATATTAGCGGAATGGTAAAAAAAAAACATGCAAAATGAATCGTCAATAGCAATATTGATCCTTCAAACGAAACCGCCACCAACGATTGCGGTTCTACACTGAACCAATAAAAAAATAATAATAATAATACCCAATCCTACATGGACACTATTTAGGGAATAAATTTTTAAAACAAAGCAAAGTGGGAATTAATTTTGATTTAAACAATTTCTAGAGAAATCGTTCAGAATTACTGTAAGTAGAGGCATGAGGCCTGAGTCAGACAAATTCGAAGAAAATTGTAGAAAAGCATTTAACTCATATTGTATTACTCCATAATATGTAAATTTAAGACATAATTAATTGTATAAGCCAACCTAAGTTTTAATTAGTCATATTCGACGTGACCAGAAAACTATTTTGAGCACTCCAACTGTTCCAAAATAATTGTTATTTGTACTGTCTATAACTTTGGTTAATTTTAAGGCCAGATATTATTATCATTTTAGATATTTAGATGGGTACTAAACCACTGAAGAGATGGTTTACAACATAGAGATAACACAAATTACTACTTCTGATTTTTTTTTAATTGCAATTTTGGGGTATTATTTGAGAGATATACAATACGGAGTATTTCAAAATTGCAACTAAAAAAAATCGAAGGTAGTATAATTTTTAGGATTATGAATAATGCATAGAAGGGAGTACAAACTTAACATTATATTAACTTGATCAACGACAATTATTGACCAACTTCGTAGCACACTGATTTTACCTCCCCATTAATTTCTTCAATTTTGTTTTCTTGTATGCCTTAATGACCTCAAAATTTATGGTAATTAAAATTATCAATTAATTAACTCCCCATTTATTTTCATTTAATTTTTTTTTAAAATTGTTTTTACAAGGAAGATGAGGAGTTACAAATCAAGTATTTTATAATTTTCCTGTATAAGATCAACGACTCTAATCAACAAGCTTACTAAAAGCCTTAAGATTAGCTTTTCTTATCTCATTTCATCCCATTTTTCTTCAATTCTCCTTCCTTTAATCTTGCACCCTAAATCCATGCCTTTTAACTAAATTATATTTGCTTCATTTTTCTTTCTTTTTCTTAAACCTTCCTTTTATATTAAATCATCCTAAATCTAACTAACAACGTTTTTTTTTCTTCCTTTTTCACCATGATCATGGAAGAAGAACTAATTAGTAGCTCTTATATTAATTTACTAGATAATCCAAACCCTTCACTCTACTCATATATTTTACCTTCTATTCCATCAACGGCCATTGATAGGTTTTTGCTAGGCGGCGATTACACCACCACGTCTTCCCGGTTTATACAAACTAATAAATTGGAAACAACCACTCCACCACCAAGGTCATGACCACTGTCGTACCAACAACCCTAGATCAAGCTTATTTAAGCAATTTTGCATCATCATGTAATGGTTATTATAGTAGTAATAACCCTAATAGTAATTTTTATGGAGTTGGTAACATGCATAATAATAGTGTTAATGGGTTGTTTTTTGAAGAAGTTGAGTCTCAAAATAGTGAGGTAAGACATGAAGAACAACGATCATCGTCTAAACATGAAGAACAATCTCTCGTGTTTGAGGGGTGGAGATCATCTAAGGGGAAAAAAAGAAAAGCTTGTGCTATAGGGCAATGGTCTACTGACGAAGACAGGTTTGTTTTTATTTTGTAATTTGTTTCACAAACACCACCTTATTATATTATGAGCTTTGTTGAAGATCTAGCTTAAATGGTTTTGTTTATTTCATATTTGGGTTGAACAGGAAAAAAAAAAAAAAAGTGTTTATAGTTTTTTTTTTCCTTAATTTATTATTGCAAAATAGATAAACTTGTTGTATTTCTTTCTTCTTTTGTAAAAGAAATTAAATGGTTTTGCTTTTTTTTTTTTTTTTTTCATTTTCGTTTTGATATGTTTGTTTACCTTTTTGACGAAATATGTTTATTTACTAGTGAAGGCTTCGTTCTCAACTAGGGTTTTAAGTTGATACTAGATTATTTTTTTTCTCATAATTTTTGAAGTAAGTTCTTGATATATTTCCATGTTAAAGATAGTAAGTATTTTTTCTTATCTGTATAAATGAAGTCGACTCAAGAGCTTGGTAGAAAAACATGGTGAACGTAAATGGGCTTTCATCGCAGAGAAGATGGTAGGAAGGGCAGGGAAGCAATGTCGTGAAAGATGGATTAACCATCTACGGGATAATATCAAGGTATATAATAATATAAATCATATTTTTTTGATGATGAGTATTTGATTTAAGTAAATTAATTAGTAAAGTCTTTTTACTACTTTAGTGTTTACTGTAATTGAGTAACTTATAGCTGAGTCCGCATCTACATAATTCATGATTTGAGTAAATAAATCTTAATTGCATTTGGAATATTTTTGGAAAAACTTAAACAAGATTCTTATTATTATCTTCTTAAGTGAAGTTTCTCTAGCTTCCGTTCAAGGAAATTCTTTCTTGTAGTTTCACCCCAAAATAGGTTTTCAAAAAAAAAAAAAAAAAAAAAAAAAAATAATAATAATAATAATAATAAATAAATAAATAGATGTCACACTAATTGTGACACATAATTTTAATAAGTGATAAACTATTCGATACTTATCATAGCACACATTTTTTAGTTATGTAAAATGATTTTATTTATCAATTGTTATTATAATTTTAATAGGACTAGCTTTTTGGCATGTTGTTAATTAAACCAAGGGAAAATGCGTGTGTCGTTTTTATCTTAATCATCAAATGATTTTCTTACAGAAAATTGAAGAGTTTAATAGGAAGTGGAAAGGTGAGTTTTCAAATATAGAGATAATGGTACATTCGTTCAAATAGCCAAATGATTTTTGAGTATAAATTTTCTTACAAATATTAAGAACTTGTATAATATTATGAACCAAATAATAACTAAGGAAAATAATTTTCCAACTTTTCTACATCTCTTGAAATATAATGTGATTTAACAATGACCTACGACCATTATATGAAATAAAAATAATTGTTAAAATTTCACTTATTTTGTAAAATTATTTGATTAATATTTCAGAAAGATGCATGGGACGAGGAAGAAGAGAGGATGCTAGTAGAGGCTCATGAGCAATTTGGCAATTGATGGGCAGAAATAGCTAAGAAAATTCCTGGAAGAACCGAAAATTCAATCAAAAACCATTGGAATGCCACCAAAAGGAGGCAAAATTCAAAAAGAAAGAACAATAACAAGAATAAAATTGAACCCGAGCCTAAAAATCAACCATCTATTTTACAAGATTACATTAAAAACAAATACCTAAAATCCGCCGCCACCACCACCACCACCACAACCACACCCACCTTACTCAACACCAACACCACCCCCTCAACCTCTCATAGCTCGGTTTCCACAACCACCTCGAACAATGTCTAGAAAGCCCACACCTATTTCTAGACACTTCTAATGAGTCTACTTTGTCAAACCCTAGTCATCATGAGAAGTTGATGTTCATGAATAACCAATCTTGCTCTCAAGATGGTTATCCATCATATGATGCTGTGAGTGTGTACGAGACTGATCAAGTGCAGTCGAATCCGGTCATGTTTGCGCCTGATCATTTGATGATGGTAACACTCGGAGGTACTAGTACAAATGTTTACTCTGATAGATTAATATGTGACATGTTAAATGGAGATGCACCTAAGCTAGATGCACCTAATGAGTGGATGATTAACAATAATCATATGATGGGTGATTATGTGGTGGAAAATGTTTTATATGATTCAAGTGAACATAGGAAAGATATGGATCTACATGAGATGATGATTTCTCTTAATTATCTCAAGAGCAATTGTTAGTTATTCGGTTTTACTTTGAATCATGCATACTTGTAGTACAATAAACTTATTTTGCTTTTTTTGTAAGTTAGAGGACAATTAAACTCGTTTGTACTTTATTATGTCCTCCGTTTATCAATCAAGAAATGTTTTGACCTTTTTCACTATTAATTATTATGAGTATTAGCTTAGTTTTGGAAGGTTTTCTTGGTCTCTACCTACTTATTGAGATCACTTTGGTCTTTACCAAGTGGGGACCAAATGTACTATAACCGACACTTTTGTCGTTAGTGGTTTGCCACTGATTTTAACGTCGATGGTATACCAACAACAACCAAGTTATCTTAGATGATACTCTTCTTTGATACCAACGAACTCTTAGATTATATTTCTTTTGATACTATCAAACACCTCTTTGATACCAACGAACCTATTTATATACTAATATCAATTTGTTGTTTACTTGTTTCTTGATTAATGACTTTTAATTTATCGGTACTAGTTATCACAACTCTACTACTTATACATCAAAATAAATTATTTTAGCAGTTTAACAGCCCACTATGCTCCGCAATAATAATTTTTAAACTAGAGAGTTTTGACCAAGACCTGAACTTAGTCGACAATAGAACCTCCGGCATTCCGAGCTTCCGACTTTACCAAGGTAGCTAACCCCAACCTTGTCTTCCTTAGATCAGGCTCAGCACAGATCTAATTCGTTTCCTACCTTAGAGGTAATCTCTAATTAAATATCCTTACTGTGTTTATGATGGAACCTTTTAAACAGAAAGATAACTTATTTGATATATAAGGTTTAAGAGGATAACGTTCCCTTCTTGAACGAAACTTTTATTTAATCTGAAAAGATAACAAAACTCATATATTACAACACACACACAAACTGAAAGCTTAAACAGACATAAGTTGAACTAGAGTTTTCTCTACTTTAAGAGAGATGGAGAACCAATCTTTCTCTTAAGGTGAGTATTTTTCTCTAGAGGACTCTCTAAATCTTTCAGAGTAATTCTCTAGCTAACTCTTCCAGCTCTGCCTTCACTTCTTGGCCTAAGTCCCTTTATATAGTGAAGCAAAGTTACATAGGTTCCTTATCCTAACTCAGCAAGCAATTCTACACTATTGCTTTTTACAAAGATACTTTAAGACAGAAACAATTAGTAAAACGTGGCTACAGTGAAGATTCCTTGCATTATTTCTGGTCTGGGCTCAAGCATTCATAATTTCATCCATCTTCATTTCTTGTAGGCTCCCCTCACTATCTTTGCTGTCTACACACATAGGATTCTCTTTTTCTATGCCAAATTCTAACAACAAATTTGGCTGCGTATTCTTCATCCCAACTCATGAATGCTTCAAACAGATACTCATGGCCTTCAAATGACAGAAACTTCCCACTTTTAGTATCTTCTAAATATTTGTAGATTGACTTGGTGTTCTTTATGCCATCTACTAAATATTCTTTCATCTTGTTAGGCGCCAAAGTTGTTGTGTTACCAACATGAAATATGACAGTAGGATTTTCTTTCCTTTTTTATAAAATCGTTAAGATATTGTGAAATGTAGAAGAATCCCAATGCTTTGGCCTCAGTTGGATTTCTAACAGTCTTCTGACGAATTATTATGGGATCTTTGCAACACCTCACTTCCCCAAACATTATCAAGTAATGCGGTGGACTAACTTTCCTTCTTTAATTTCGATAGCACATTGTACCCTTTCTCCTAGCTGAAATTCGTCTTTTTTGTCATCACAATATTTTCGAACCTTGTTGAATGCGTACTGTTGGAACTTTGTAAGTCTTGGAAAGAAAGAGTCATTAGGAATAGGGAATTCATAGAAATCATGTACCATTCCATAATCCCAAACCTTATAATCTATACTAATGAATGGAGCATTTTGATTAAGAGGAAATGGGTGGATTTGCAATGATGCAACTTTAGAGTTTTTGGGAAACTCTATTCTTTCTCCCCATAGATCTCGAAGATCAAAGATTTTACTGGATCTTGTAGCCACCAACTCGTACCATGTTCTAAAATCATTATCTCTTATTTTGTTTAATATTATTTTTTGTAAATCAGGAATGAGCTGAAATAACATAATTGTTACTTCAAACATCAATAACCTTTGGACTGCTCGATGGCAACCCTTAATTAAACCATCTCGCGAACGTTGTTTAGTTGATATAATCAAGACTTGCAATAAGTCCCAACTGGAGGGTGAAACCCGCTCCATTTCCTTTTCGGTCTCATCAATTAGAGTTTTCCTCTCAGCACATTTTTGAGTTACTACTTTAAGATCATTCTTATGTTACTCTAAACCTTTTGAGAATATTAAAATATCATCTATATAGACCAAACAAAAATGATTAAGTTCTCTAAAAATATTATCCATTCTTCTCTAAAATATTTGTGGAGCATTTTTTAATCCAAAAGGGATTACTAACCATTCATAATGCCCTTGAGGGGCACTAAATGCAGTTAATGGAATGCTTTCTTCTTCCATTTTAATTTGCCAATAGCCACTCTTACAATCCATTTTAGAAAACCATGTGGCTCCTTGTACACTAGTAGAAAAAGTGCTATTTGTAACTGGCGAAATTGACTTTTTGTAACCAACATTGTTGGTTGCGAATGCCACCGTTACAACTAGTGAAAATTATTTGTAACTAACTAATGTAAGTTACAAATAATGTACTATTTGTAACTGACTTACCATAACGCCAGTTACAAAAAGTCTATTTTCCAAGGTTTCACCATACAATTTGTAACTGACATTAAGTTACGCTAGTTACAATTAGGGTATTATTAGTAACTGACAAATCTTAACGCCGGTTACGAATATATTTTTTTATTTTTTAAAAAATATTATTAGTAACTAGAATTAGGTTATGCCAGTTACTAATAAATAAATAATTTTTTTTAATAATTATTTGATTCGAATACAATAATGGTAATATATCCTACCAAACGTCCCATCGTCAAATGAATTACAACCTGTTACAATTCAACCAACCAAACACGTACTCCGAATACTTCCATATAACTTAAATTCACCCACAACATACAATACAAGCACTCCAAATAATTCCACAGATGTATTATTCATCCACAACAATATAGTGCAACAAAAATTAACTATACTTTCCAAAAAACAATTAAAACTTAAATAAAAAAAAGAACATTGATTTATATTTTTAAAATGTAATTACAATAATCAATAGGCTAAATAAAAGTAGATATATAGAAAAGTTTTATATTATTTTATTAAGCTAAACGCGACTAATCATAACATTGATTAATAAGATAACTAGTCTTTCAACAAAAAATTAAGCCTAAAAAACTTAGCCCATTGTTTTCAAATCTCATCTAATTCTACATCGTTGTAGGCTGTAAGTCTTGCCAAATACTCCTGCAAATATTAAAAAAAAATACGTGTCTATAATACTTTATAAAAATAAAACATCAACCAAAACTCGTATAAAGCATTTTAGCTTGCAAAGAAGAGGTAAATTAATCACTAAACTCTTTCGAATTTCCCTTGCAATCGCTATGAAAGGTACTATCTCATACATATACATCTCATTACATAATAATCACATTCGGTCCGTGTAGGCGTCGCTCGAAGTGCGCCTACGTTAAAAGCATGTGGTGAATATGCTTGGCACTCATAGGAAGTAGGAGTTGACATAATACGATTAGGGACAAGGAAAGTAGGGAGCCGCCAACAAGTTTTTAAGGAACTTGTAAACCGTTCACGGATCATAAAAGGCAACCACGAATAAGGGACAACGAAGGCAACAACGATTGACCCATTAAGGTTACACCCCATTCATAATCCATGAGATTACTAACTCCATATGGTTCGGAACCACGAAAGGAGGATCGGGGATGATGGTACGAAGTGAGTCATGGAGTCACATTCGCCCGTATTGGCCTCTACTCGATTCTTATATTGAAAAGCATTCATGTGATCTCAAATGCATACAAACAATAATTCAATTCAGTCCAAACTATTATTTAACTAAATTGGTGGAACATTAATGCACACATAATTCTAAAATATTTGTGATCACTTCAATTAATAATAAGATTAAAAGGATCCTAAACCGATTGTCCAAATTATCTTATTAGGAGTGATTTTCAATTACATATTACCTTTAAACATGCAATACGATGATCAATAATAGAATAACATTAATATTAAAACCAAATTAATCACAATTCCAACAACATAAAATCGTTAGAAAAATAATAAAAATAAAAGGAGCATGATCCTTACTTTGATTCAGT